GGAATGAAGGAATGCAGAAGCGACACGGTCGCAATTCCTCCGATTGTGGACAGATCTTCTCCGGTAAAACCTTCCATTTGGCTCTAAAATGAAACAATTCCTCTGCGTGAAGAACAAAAGAATCGCGAATCTCCCAAATCCGGTAGGATTTCAACTCGCCGGAACCGAATCTGAGACAGATCTAACACTGAAAACGAACGATTTTCCAATCGGAAACACAATTCGTTCGATACCCAAACCTTCGTCGATTTAACATTCGTTCGATTTTTTTTTTGTTTTTTTTTTATGTATATTATATAAATATAAATGTTAAATTTTCAAAAATACTTTTTTTTTTCAAGTTTTTAAAATTTTCATTTTAATCCTTAAATTTTAAAATTTATTTCAAAAACAAGCTTTTTTTTTTTTTTTTTTTTACCAAATATAAATAAAATAAATAAGTTATTGACAATTTCTTTATTTAATTTAATTTGTTGTTTAAAATAAAAACAATTTTGGTCCATTCAAAAAATAAGTAAAAAACAAATGATTGATTAACCATTACTTTATTAGATTTTCAACTTTGTAAAAAACTCCCAATTTTATTTTATTTTTAAAAATATGTATTTTCGGAGATCAATTAATGGTTCAAATATTACTAGTTAAGGATCCAAGATGAAGATATTTCGAGACTGCTTTCAATACCCGATACGAGCATTATGAATTTATAATGATGTCCTTTAGAAAGACTAATGCACCTCAAACCTTCATAGACTTAATGAACCCGGTATTCAAAAAACTTCTCGATTATTTGTATAAATTGATTATATTTTGGTGTACTCCACATTAGACGTGGAGCATGAAATTCAATTGAGGAAATTTTTCGATGGTGCCAAGGGTGAACAAATTATTTGCTAAATTTTTACGGTGCGAGATTTGACTCCAACAATACTCAAATAAATATAAACAAGTTCCTCACTTTAAACAAGCTTAGGTTATTTTGACAAAAATCTTAAATTCATTGTGTTTTTGTAATGATACTCAATAGTCGTGTATAAAATACGGGTCGTTACAGTTGTATCAAAACTCTATAGTTTTATGTTCAGTAGACTTGTTTACATAGTAAGCATTACTTATCTCAAGATCCCATAAATTATGAATATTATAATGTTTTAAGTCATTTTTTTAGTTTTAATTTAAACCATTTTTTTTATACGTTAAAATATACTTTTGGTCCTTAAACTTTTATTTTTTAAGAAAAATTGGTTCTAAAAATATATTTTTTTATCACTAGTTTGGTTTGACCTATACTCCTAATAAATACATTTATTAATGTTAAATTACTATAAAACAGAACTACTAATAAATACTATGAACGTTGATGTAAACGGATAGGTTCGAGAGAGGATATTTTAGTCATTTTCATATCTTTTTAAAATTTATGAGGACTTTAATCATCTCTAACAAATCTTAAGAAACAAACACGATTAAGGAAGCTATATCAATCCAGCCAAGCAGCCGAGGGTTGGCAATTGATTTCGATTCTGTACTTAAGATTGTGTGATACAAATAAAGAACAGATTATTAACTAACGTAATATTTGGAGACATGCTTGTTTTGATAAGATTTAGAAACCAAACCAAGGATATGAAACTTGTCTGAAATGCCTCACAAGATTGATATTATGAATACAAACCAAGAACAGATTTGAACTGACATTAATGCATTCTCGTACATAAAAGAGTTTATAATGAAACCATTCGTTCAAAATATCGCTACGCCCAACCAAAAATCAAGTGGATTAAAATGAAGCTCTGAAACAAAAATCTATGACCTGCAACCTAACTTTCTCCGGGCAAGCTCTTGATGATATCCGAATCGCCTGAAGGACATTAAATACCATAATTAGAACATTATGTGAGGGCTAGTTATCTAAGAATAGAACATGGGATTATCGGAAAAGTATACGTACCAGGATCGATAATGCTGAGGCAGCATACTCTGTAGTATTTTCCACAAGCTGTTCCAAGGTCTACGTTGCCTGAAAGCATACAAAAATAGAGATTAGTTCTCAAGTGTAATTTGGGCAAACATAATTCATCATAGTCAACTTGAAACACAAAACACGAAGCAGACACAAATAATAAGGATAAAGGGTCAAAAAGACATTCTAAATTCTTTTATAGTTACAGCCTATCATTAACCTAAGCAATTGAGAGGCTCTTATTACTAATGATTTCGTGGGGGGGGGGGGGG